TCCTTTTCCATCCCTACTCGCTTTTGTACACAATGGAAAAGAACAAGTCCCGAGACACTATCACTGCTAAGCCCGACGCCACGCGGGATGTGTTGGTGATCTACGTAGATAGGGTTTGGTGCCTGGCTTGGCTTTTTGGCGTCTGGCAAGTTCGTGCCAGGTGAGTACATAATCGTGTTCTTCAAGTGAACCATTACGCATACGCTTGGATTCATTGACTCACCGGGCTTCTTGTTCTTGCTGGTTCATGTCTTGGCATCCATTATCGTAGTAACACCGGATCATTGCGTTGAGAGAACACGACCTTGCAATGCGCACCCTATGCAACCGTCTCCACGCAACCATCGTCTCTCCCCAACGATAAGTACTATACTCCTAAAAAAAGAAGCAAAAAAAGCGGATCTCGCTCGCCGCTCGTCCGGCTGCGATAGCAATAGCGTCAATCGATAAAAAAAACCCGCACGCACACACACATTGTCTCGATTGCATTAACAACCCTTTTAGCCCAGGGGGTCCATGCCTGTACTTATCGATTCTTTTTTTGGAAATGCGCGGCCTTTACAAGGCTTATGCTCGCGTTAACCTCCATCCACTCCACTCCCTCCCGCCTCCCAACATCGACACATCAAACGCCAAAATAAAAAATCCCATGAACCCAAAATTAAAAACCAACAAAATTCTGATACGCTTGGTTTAAGAAAACCCTCCAATGTCAGAGCACCTTGAGAAAAATCCAGGCTAATGTAATAGCCGTTAGATAGGTTCCCCTTCCCCCGAACGGCATTAACCCTTCCCTTGGTTTTCTTCTCCAATTCCAAACTCGCGCCGGGACCTTCAACAACTGCGAGTTAACGTACGTAGCCGCACTTGATAAGTTATGTTTTTGGTCCCATGTTGCCCTGAACACGACTTTGCCACGTGAACCGCCCCCCCCCCCCTACTTTTGCTACACAATAGTCCTTTTGCATGCGAGCACCAAGCTTTTACTCGCGGGACTGACTAACTGTCTGAGTGAGGTAGGTGACTTTGCGCGAGCGAGAGGACACCTATTTACTGCAGTTCTGATCTGTCGTGTGAACGGACCCAGTGTGTACTACGAAGTCATGTCTTTATCAGTTAAGAGTCACATGACATACACGTGGCCATGTTCGTTCTAGAACTTTTTTTTTACATTATAGCAAGTGGTTACTGTCTCTCTGTGTGTGTGCAGAGACGGAGGTTGAGAGTAAGGCAGAGAAGAAGAAGAAGAAGATGCTAGTTACGCAGCACGTGTAGTAAATGTCTAGTTTGAATTTGCAAAGTAAGAATGCGCAGAAAGGTAGATTATAGGTTATATCAAGATGACGGTTAGGGGTGTTATTAGTAGTGATATAGCGATGGATGGGGGTTAACATACTAACAGCGTCGTCATCATCATCTTCTCTACAAATTGCACCACCCGCTTCCCTACCTACCTATATCCTGTTATAGTCACTATCCGAGGTATTAACATACTTAGTAATAGTTGAATGATATATGTGGGGGTAAACCTTTGTCTCCTATACTCAATCATTTAATATAGAGTAGGATGGGACCACATTATGAGGCAAAGTCATATTATTAACTTCACATATCCTCTCTCATCATAATACATGCAATCGTGTAGTACCAGTAAACTGCTATGTCTTTTTGAACTGTACGAACCTAATACTCGGACAACAACAAGTCCCTGATAACTCTTAAACACCAACGCTATGCTACATCACGAAATAATACAGTCGTTAACACCTCTCCACCAGCTACAGATATTCTTTGCACCCAACCGTCTATCAGGTCTAGTACTTCTTCGCCTCCATTCCCTCTGGCGGCTCAGGTACCACTTTCCTGTTCCCAACATTACTCCAGTCGGTACTCAGCACCGTGCCGCCGCTCTCAGAGTAACTCTTCATCATAGCCCGCTGTTGCTCAGGCGTAGCTCCGCTGTATAGCTGCTTGAAAAAGTGCGATGTCTCGTCTCCTTCGATTTCGTCCTTGTCGTCGAGATCGTTAACCACCACCTTGTCCCAGTTCTTTGCGCCCGATTTAGACGACGTAGGGTATGCGGGGGCGGTCTCCTTTACAAGGGCGACAGAAGAAGATACTTGTGACGTTACGGCGGCTGCTTCGCCCTGGGCACGCTCAAGGCTATGCCATTTCACGCCTGGCGTTGCCTTTCGCAGCGTCACCTCGATCTTGGTGGGTGTTATTCGGTATTTGGATTGCGAGGGATCGATGGAGGAAAAGAGAGGGTCGGCGTTGTAGCTGTATTCGGACGACGAGTCGGAAATGGGGAAAGAGACGGAGACAGAATCTTGTTCAATCTCTACAACAACCTTGTCCTTGGGCACACCCTTGGCCATGATGTTCAGAGTGACGCTATCATGAGCCTGGTACCAGTCGGTCTTGATCTTCTCTTTGGGTGTCGGCGCAGGAGGCTTCGGTGCCTGGGCTGTTGTCGACTCTGCGGTTTTAGCTGGGGCGGGGGTTGTGGTTGCACTAGGTATTTCCACGTCTGGGTCCTCCTTTATAGTGACTGTCCTCTGCTCGTCATCCTCTGGCACATCTTTCAACTTGGATGCGACCTTGGCCTCCCAAATTGGCAACATCTTGTCCTTTTCGTCAAGGCCTTTTACTATGCGCAAGAGAAAGTCAGCATCCGCATATTTGCCAAGGTGGTAGAGTGCGACGGCGCGTCGAAACTGGGCGTCCTTGATAAGCTCGCGTGAGCCGCGCTTTTTGGCAAGGACAACTGCGACGTCGGCATCGTGAAGGGCTTCGGGGAACTTGGAGGTACGTTGGTAGGCTGTCGAGCGGCCGATGTAATATTTCACGGCGGTCGGATTGACACCAAGGGCCTTGGTGTAATGCTCAATGGCTTCGTCGGGTTTGCTTGCGCTGAGAGCAGCGTCACCTTTGCGGGCGTTGTCCATTGGGGCGGAATTGCAAGTAGTAGAGAAGAAGAAGAGCAGTCGAAATGGTGCGCAAACCCCGTCAAACGTATTTTCTCAGTGTGGTGACAAAGATGCGCCAATATTGGTGGCTAGGTGGTGTAGCAAGCGCCATGACGAGTGTAGAAGCTTCCATGGCTGCCTTCCCCGAACAAGGGTCCCAATGTCCCAATGTCCCAATGTCGCGCTAGTGATAACCACCCAGCCCTGCCACTAAAGGCGGGGTCTGGTGGGAGGGCACCAATACATCATCAGTACCAGATTTAGAAAACAACTTACTCGTATCAACCCAGCTGCATGCACATGACTACGCGCGCCTAAGTGGAGTAGGTACTGTATTGCATATGACATCAGCACAAACAAATATAGTTACACGGAAAGTATACTATTCACAATGCATATTCAAAGTCAAATCAGGTCGTGTGATGTATTACTACACAACAAAAAAAAGGCCAGGCGCCTGCAATGTCTGACAGGTATATGCAATGCCGAGCTAAGGGCCGTCAAAGAAACTCCAGATACAAATAGGAAAACCGCTACACTTGTACAAATCTATACGGGCGCATCCTCGCACCATCACCCACTCCATGCTGCATACACCCCGACTCGTCATTCCATCTAAAACAGAAGCACAGCGCCAAAGATAGTGCTCGCAGCAACCATGCCGATGATGCGGAGGGGCACCTCGAGGCCAGCAGCAGCACCCTGGCTACCGGCAGAGCCAGTGGCACCAGCTGAAGGAGCGCGCGTGGGCTCGCCAGATCCAGGCTGGGCCTCAGACTCGCTGGGCTCACCAGCAAAGTGCGAGCCATCGCCAGAAAGACCGGGACCTGAGCCAGCACCCTTGTCCATAAACGCAACAGCCTTCTTGGGGATCGATGGGAGGTTGGTGCCCTTGACTTGCCAGTCGTCAGACTCGGCAGGGCACTGGGAAGCACTGCCGTTCTCCTTGAAGCCACCGTCGTCAGTGGGGTTGGGGGTGGCCTTGAGGGCCTTGGCAAGACGGTCGAAATCCGCGTTGGGCTTGATGTTGCCGTCAGAGCCAACCTCGACGAGACCGTAGCCGTTGGGCTCGACAGTGTACTCGTAGGCGAGACCACCAGAGTAGACACTAGTCATGTTCTTGGAGTACAGAGCAGCAATTTCACCCCACTGGCGGGTGTTGGTGATGCAACCAAACTCGGACAGGAAGATGGGCTTGCTGTAGTTGCCGTAGGTCTTGACCTTCTTGTCCCAGCCGGACTGGGTGAAGGATGAAGGGTCGCACCAAGAGTAGTCGTTGAAAGCGAAGAAGTCGGAGCGCTCGTCGTCGGTACCGCAGTTGAAGTAAGTGGCCTGCTGCTCAATGTTCTCAGAAACATCGGCGGCAGAGTATCCAACGGGAATGATACGCTCGTGGCGGTTGGAGATGTACTGCTTCATGTCACGGGTGACGGCCTTGATGTAAGGAGCAGCGTTGGAGTTGTTCTTTGCGTTGATGACCTCGTTTCCGGAGAAGAAGAGCATCAGGTTGTTGTACTCGGCGAAAGCATCAACAGTAGCAAAGACAGACTGGAGGTACACATCGTTGTACGAGGTGTGGAGGGTGTCGGCGTTCTCACGGTTGAGCGAGTACTTGGGGGTGTTGGCGTCAAGAGCCAGGTAGATGCCGGCATCGTCAAGCATCTTCATACCCTCGTCGTGGTTCTTGGAGTTGTCGATTGTGTAGATACGGACAGTGTTGATGCCGAGCTTCTTGAAGTTGTCGACATCGCGCTTGAGCGACTTAAGGTCGAGCAGAGGGTCCTGTGCGTCAGCGGCGCCACCTGTGTATATGTTAGCATCACTGTAAACACCACGATCTGGCGCAACAACATACCGGGCTGGTAGGCGACACCACGGACATAGAAGCGCTTGTCACCGGCGAAGAAGGCATTGCCCTTGACGGTGATTGGGGTCAGGTTGCCCTTTGCGGCGAGTGCGGGAGCGACGGCGGCTCCCAAGAGGGAGATGATAAGGCAGGACTTCATAGTGGCGGATTGAAGCGAAGATGGATTAAAACGAAGAGTAGAGAACAAAGCAGTTGGAAGTCTTAACGAGTGACTGGTAAGTAGGAAAAGGAATCCTCACACAAAGAACATTGAACGGAGAAGGAGGAGCCGGGATGGCAAAAGTATTTGAAGCAGGAGCACCCCCAATTTCTTGGTAACCCCCGAGTGCTACATGTGGAACTCGCCAACCCCCGTAGTTTGTCTGGCGCTGATGCGCGCCAAGTCGTCGAGTGTTGGCGCGCCGGCAGGAATGGCGGATACCAAGCAGCCAAGTCCATAGCCTTGGATTAGCAAAAGGCCGCCCAGCCTTGGTCAGGGGCAACGGCGCTGCTAAGTGGCAGGGCCAGGTCCATGACGAGACTCTAATAACAAGTGAATTGCGCGTCCGCTGCCGTTCCGCTCGACAACACAGCCTCGTTGAGTAAATTCAAGATTTGCCCGTCTGCAAATCCATCGTGTTGGCTGCGGTGGCCCCCCTCACTTGGAGCCGCACGCGGCTTGGGGACAATGGCCATCGCCGGCCACTGCAGCGCATCGGGAAATTGGGCGGAAAAGGAATGCTTGACCAAATGTTATGAAGGATTGGCGATGGCACAACTACCGTGGCATGGCTTGCCTGCTCTTTCGTATCGCACTGCCCATGGCACTGCCGCTCCGTTGTCGTTGTTGTTGTTGTTGGTGCTGCTGCTTGCGGCCCGGGGGAGATCTGAACATCAGTCTAGGCGACAAAAAGTAACGCTGCGCATGTGCATGCAGCATGCGTCAACAGCTCAGCCCATTGAGTGACGGAATGGATACGTACGTTTCCTTGTATGCACATACATACATATGCATGGAGATCCGCGAGGTTGGTGGTGGAGGAATGGCTGGATTGACGGTTGTTGCACGTCTGGGGCTTGGGTTGGGACTGGTTGGCTCCCGTACCACGGCGTTAGAGATGTTCCGCCCATCTGCCCTCTCCGCCACGCAATCATTTCCTACACTTGCACCTGCACTGCCGACCCCACGTGACATACTACCATATCCACGCGCTACCAGGCATGCGTTTTTGTAACCAGCAACCCCATACTTCTCTGAACCTTCAGCCATGTCAAGCCTTGCCCAGCGTCCTGCTGAGACTGGCCGGTTGTCATCTGCTACAACAAATGACAGATGTCATTGGTTTCGGCCTTGTCTTTTATTAGATACGAAACCTCATCCCTGAGCATGGGCACCCCTCTACTATGACGTCTCTTGCTTTCTTTTGCAACAATCTTCCCGCTTGTCTCTTCTTTTACCCTCAGACCCCGGAGAGAGCCCAGCAGCTTACATGTGGTTGAACACACAACGATCAAGCCTTTCAATACTCTCAACACTCCTCCACTGGTTGTGATGTGGGTTCCTTCCCGCTTGAGTGCCGTGCCGTCAGCAGTGGCTTGTCCGATCTTCAACGGGCCGAGATCAGGACTACAGCTTATGCACTCCAAGCCACCCTCCCAGTCTAGCTACTTGAGAAGATTGCGCACTCGAATAGCCGCTGCCGCTAATACTGTTCTAGCTCATAAGTCTGTTTGCGATTCGCGCTTGAGTGGCGCTGCTACAATTAATTCAATCGACGACTACATGATCGAGTAAATTGAATTTTGCAGAGTCTGCTGCAGAGTCAACTCTGTTGAGTTCCTCGGTTGGTATGACCATGTGCACGTGCTTTGAATCGGTGACTTCCAGTACGCCCAAAGTGTCTCCTGGCTCAGTAACTGGTATTGCCTCATCCGTGCGCGTCCAGGTTCCAAGACCGAGGTTCTCATGTGCTAGGCGTTGCAACTGTAGGGTGGATCCGGCTTGCCATTCGCAGTAGCTGTATATTAACTTTGCACTGCGTAGGCGCGGATATCGTAAAAAAAGGGCGAAAAGTTCCTCCACAAATATTGATGTGAGAATCAGCGTGCTTCCTATGATAAGGACCATACCTAAGGTCCAGGCGTTGAAAGAATAGTGCTTGGACGAGCGTATTTTCTGTTGTCGTAAATATTAGTGTAGGCAGGCTAAACAGGGTCATACTACACGAACCTGGCTACGACACATCCTACGGCACTCCCTTTCACCCTCACAATATGTGCTCGTGCTAAAATCAAGTCCCCTAGCATGATCGACCATCGCAGATTGTATAGCAGCAAGACTAGCTTTGTATAAGTGTTCGCGCTCGTCTTGCCATCGATCCTTCGGTATAGCTGCTAGTTGCAAGTTAAACGCCAGGGTACTGCGTGATAGAAGGGTTGGTGAGCTTGGCATGAAATAATGGTCATCTAACAAGCCTTGATTGTTCAGTGTATTCACAAATCCGTGCATCACAGACTGATCGTTTGCGTCTGGCCAGACGCTTTGGAACAAGTCCAATGAAGATTGATGATCATCCATAGCGAAACCATCAATGCATCCGACATCTTCGGGAAGGTTCGGGTTGCAATATAACCTCTGAGTTACGCAGCCCATTACACCAACAGGTTCGTCAGCAACAAATGGACCTGTACCGTCCGTACTGGAATCTGAAGAGCTGTTATCAAACAAGGTTGTAGCCGAGAACCAAGGATCCTCTGTCTTGTTGACATATATGACTTCCGAGGCATCCAGAAATAACAAGGACACGGCCCCATTGGGTTTCCATAGTTCTGATATTAACTCAATAGTTTTATCAGAACTGTACCGCAACACGACTCTGCTCTGAAGTTAAAATTTATGGAAATAGTGTGTGACAGGTTTGATGAGACTTACGCAACTTTGTAGTTGCCAACAGTAACGTCATCAAGTGATGGTCTTTCGGACCTAATATCAACTGCAAAGACAGGACTTTTGTTGCCCTCGGAATCAGATATGTTCCCATATCGATAGACCTGTCGAGTCTGGGAGCTATTTGGGATCAGGACAGTGTCGGTGAAGCCAGCTGTTTCCAAAGGCGCACAGTGCGTTTGATGGCGAAGAGTAAACTGTGGGTTCTGATTGAGGCCCAGGTGTATTTGAGAGTGTAGCACGCCTGAGTCGAGGAGGATGTTACCAATATCTGACTTGCAGATTCCCCCGGAAAATGGACAAGAGGCGTTTCTGTCTGACGTAAAGGGCAACGTGGGTCTTACAAACGTTTCGCATAGCTCGTTCTGGACAATGTTGCCCCCGTCGTAGTATTGTATCGCATATCCAAAGGCGTCGACAGATTTCTGACTCAGATAAAGCATTAGGGGTTCATAGTGAGACACTTGGAAGTCTTCATTATGGGCGTACACCCCACAGTCTTGGCCAGCTATCAAAGCTTCTTGATTCGAGTTTGTCAAAATTCTCGAGGACAAAATACCTAAGAGAATCAATCATCAACAATTCACAAGAGCAGATTCCATGCACAAACCAGCAGCAATAGAAACAACAGAGATAGCAGAAGCTATCAGAATGACCGGCAGTATACGCTGTTGGCTCCTTTTGGCGCGATCTCGCCAGGCATAACTGAGTCGACACAGGTCTATCACGGCATCAAGTGCCAACGGCTGATTGCGCAAGATGGCTTGTCGCTGGTGATAGACACCATCCTGCTTACCGAGGGTTGAGTCATTGGCATAGACCAGAAATCGCGTAATCTTCCAGACGCTACGCGCTGTGACAGCAATAAATAAAGCGAGAAAAGCTATGACCAGACCGCCGGCCTGAAGATCAAGTGTGAGGGTTGCGCCACGGACTGTACCAAGCGATTGATTGATCCAGAAGCCTTTGTAGATGGTCTGATCAATGGGCCCTGTTGGTAATGTTAGGGGCATGATGTGAGTGGCTCGGGAGTTTCCAGGTATCGAGGCTCCTGGGTACACAATCTATCAAATGAATGCCTTTGGCTGTTTTGCTGACCCACTAAGTCGTCTCTGCTGGACTGAGATGGATATTAGGGAAGTGGATTGCGTGGCGATTTTTGGACAAGAGACTTGATGGGTATGCTCCAGCTGACCACCTGAGCTTTATGCGTACTATATAAGCTCAGGAAAACACCTGATATAAGCCGCAGGAAGTCCTACCAAGTCTATCGCAGCTTGCCTGATCGGTACTTGCTAAGTACTTGGAGTATAGCCACACTTTTAACTTTTCACCCCATCTCCATCGTCGATCAGCAAATAGACTGATTTAGTAAGTGTAGTTTGCTGCCGAAGACGTTTTGTATCGTAGCTGGGTATGTCGAGTGGTAGAAACGCTCCTTCGAGAGGATAGGGAACCCCTCCCTACACCCTCATAGGTATGCAGTACGTGGCTGAAAGCTGAACACAACGAAAGAATGGCAGGCAGGTCGCCTTCATGCAGCTGTTGAGAGCGCAGGACAATGGCGGGGCAGAGCTGAGCATGGCTTCTCGAAGCCACAATAGCGCGGACCCATCAGTACAGTATCTTGACCAGGAAACCCACTGATTGTGCATTTATGGACTTGATTTCCAAGATAAAAGTGCCATATTTAGGGTGCACAGCCTCATAGCTGGATACAGCATGTACAGACTTCTATTCAATCCGAGCACTAGGTTGCTCTACACATTAGAGGTATGAATTGTAATCCTATGTCAGGACTCTCTCTGAGTGTGATGCGAGCGGCACCCCCACGTGACTGAGCTAAAAGAAGAGTCCCGCCCCCATCCTACACATGCTCAACGGGGCTCTCCGCGGCTACATCCCGCTTCCTACGATGCAACATTAGTAATAATCGCGCCAAAAGCATGAATCACAGCTGATTTACTGCTCGAGACGCCCGACTATAGTTTCAAATATATGCCCGCCTCCACTGCAACAACCGCGCCGCACACGCAGACCCTGGTCGCATAATCGCAGCCGACGAACCACAGGCACACTGCAGGCGCCACCACCCAAGGTCGATCGCATCTCCACCACAACCAATAGCTGCGGCGCTACCCGAAATACACAGCAAACCAGGTCAACAAGGCATACTTTCGGTGTCCACATTATGGTATGATCCGAGTGCGGCGTAGTTGCAAGCGAGATAAATGCAATTGAACAAAGAGGAAGGAACGAAGGAGCAGCAAGGATAGTAGTGAGATAAAGAGCAAGGAGAGGAACCCACGTACTGCATCTATTCAAGCTTCACGGCAATTTCTAACCTTCAACTATCACAACCTTTATCCGATTCAACCATGTTTAACCCACTCTGTCTCGCAACCCTACCCGTGCTACTCTGTCAAGCCACCTACCTCGACCCTTCCCTTCTCCAACAAAAGCCACTGATGCATGGCCTACCCTCAGATACTCTATCCGATGTCACCGTTCTACCCCTCACAGTACGTCTCTTACCCCCGCCCAAGAAACGCATCCTCGTCTCTATCTCACATCTAACACCGAAAACTAGCTAAACAAGCATCTCCACTACACCTTCTCCTCCCCCACCAACAACCCCACTCCGCTATCCCGCCTCCAAAATAGCGCCGCAGTACACGCCACACACCACGAGCACTCCCGCATCAGTATCGCCATCCCCCTCGACGCCGCACACACAGGCACCATATCCTTCTCTTCCCCCACATCATCTGCCGTCCAAGACACAACCGCCACACACATGACATGGATACCCCAGAACCCCTGGGATGTAGACATGCACGACATCCCCCTCCTCGATGCCGGTGTGCGCAAAGGCGGCATGGTAAGTATGAGCGTCGAAACCGCAGTCTTGGATTTCAGCACAGCATTCATCACGTTACCTGCTGGGCTCTGGGATGTGGTTGTTCTGGCGACGCAGCCAGTGCTGAAGCCGAGTTGGGGACAGGAGAGAGGGCAGGAGGTCATGAGTGTGGAGTGTGAGGCTAGGAGGAGGTTTCCGGATTTGGTGCTTGTGATGGAAGACGAGAGCGAGATTGTGGTTGGGCCGAAGCAGTATGTCCTGCAGAGGGGGGATGAGTGCGTGCTCCTTGTTAAGAAGGCGGAGGAGGGTGACGAGGAGAGGGTCGGGCTGGGATGGGCGATTGCGAGAGGGAGGGAAGTAGTATTTGATTGGGGAGAGGGAAGGATTGGGTTGGGGGCGTTCGAGGGGTGAACATGATGGTGTTCATCTTTTAGACTTCGTTTTAGACATGTATATCAAAATTGTATTTACTCAAGAATCATAATCATAAACCATAAACCATACCTCATACCAACAACAAACTCAACACCACAGCACTCGTACAAACAACCATCGTCATCCACGCAACCCTCACCCCACTCGCCGCATCCTTATCATCCCCTGCCTTACCCCTACCCCCATTCCCCTCCGCCGCCGATGGATTACCCTCCCCCCTCCCCGTCTGCTGCTCCCTACTCGTCACACTCCCCAAAACACACCTCCCTTCATCCAACGCGCCGCCCTCGCCGCCAAACGCCACCTGCGCCGTCTTCTCCCACAACGCCGTGACATTCAAATAATCCCTCGCCTCATACCAAACCCGACAACTCGCACTATCATTCAAGAATTGCGTCGGCATACCGCCATCTTCCAAGCCCGCGCGAATATTATCCTGGAAATTGACACCGGCATCCAGCACCGCAATGGGCGGCTGCATCGGTAAGAAGGAAGACCACTCTGCGAGTTCGGAGCGCGAGTCGGCGAATTGAAGGGCTACGAAGACGGATATGGCTTCCATGTAGACGGAGGGAAGGACTAGGGTGCCTTTTGTGCCCCCGACGGGAACCATGGGGCCAGCTAGTGGGCGTCCGCCGACAGCGATGCTGCGGACGCCGGATTGCTGCACCATTAGTTCGAGGAAGACTGCGCAGGTAGATGCACAGACACCGTCGGATAGGATAACCAGATCTTCCGCGCGAAAAGGGTCTTCGGTGAAGTTGCTACGGTCGTTATACCCAGTCATCGTAATCCCGACGGCGAGACGCGTACTGCTCGTTGTCAGGGGGTCCGAGAGATTGTATTTAAGGAGCGAAGTGAAGTTGTCGCCTTTGAAGCGGAGGGGCGGGTACATAGAGCGCCAGTCTGGGAATTCCTCGAGGGACTCGGAGAGGTAGGCGTCGTTGCTGAAGGGGCTGGTGAAGAGCTGGCCGTTGCGCAGGGTGATTTCTTCAAAGGAGGAGATGCTTTCGCCGAATAGTTCGCTAGCGGCGTGGCCGCGGTAGCGGGATTGCGTCTGGGGGACTTGCGAGGGGAAGAATTGAAGGTATGCATCGTAGCCTGAAAGGACTTTGCCGCCGGGGTTGCCGCGGATGTCGATGATGTGCTTTTCTACGCCGCGTGCTTTGGACTGGGAGATGTATTGTTGGATCACGCGTTGGAACTCTCGTGCACCGCTGACGTCGGCGGTGTTGAATGTTTGGATTATCAAGACACCGATTTGGCCTACATTGGTATTGATGAAGTAGCCGGCGAGAGGTACATTTTCTTCTGTGTGAGCAACGAAGGGTTTGGGGTAAAATAGAGGCACCGAGCTGTGCTGCAGCATGGAGGCAGACTTGAAGTCACGTTCGCGAGGGTTCTTGAGCTGGAGCGGCGGATCATTCATGTCCCTCTTTTTCACTCCGCCGCCAGAGCTGGTCGTAGGGATGCAGAAAGTATTGTAAAACGAGTTCGCATCTCGGACCCTGCTCCAGGCCTCAGCATCAGCGACGATAGCAATATTCCGGTACTCGTCGGTCGTCCCGTTCTGGTAGGTAATATTGGTAGTAGCACCAGGGAAGAAACGCGGGTTTATAAAGCCTCCGTAGCTCTCTGCTGCTGGCATGAACAGCATGGAATTATAGCGCGTATCCGGGTCATGGTATGCTACTCGCTTTGCCTCTTCAATCAAAAACTTAGAAGCGTCTTCTCCGTTGATCTCCGTAACAGGAGAAGGCTCGTAAGCACCGTCGGTGTTGTTGAAGTCTGTTAGTGCCCAAATCTGGGGTATTTCGCTGCCATCTCTAGACGCAGAGATCAGCGCAATCTTATTACTTCTTCGCCATACAAAGACTCCTGCGTATGCCATGCCATACCAGGCCAGGTGACCATCGTATGCTTTGACCATCAAGCTTGCAATGTCGGCTTCAAAATCGTACTCGTTGGCATACACTCCCGACTCAACATTACTCTTGATCCCGTCCAATCCAGATACGATATCAACAGCCGGATTTGGGTATCCTTGGGGTGGATCCTTGAGATAGGCCAGTGTGGACTGGAATTCCACCATCTTTTTGATCTCATCAACCGTGGCAGAGGCGTCTGTCGCATAAAAAGGTAGTGATTTGAGACATGCTAACGCAAGCTCAGCCTCTACTACCGGCAACTCTGAACTGCTATCCGAAATAGCATCTGCTATTTGTCCACAAGCCTCGCTAGTCTCAATTGGTCCTGTGATAGGTTCGATTGGGGTAGGCTCTACCTCAATATTTCCGATTGATGTAGGCGTCGGCACTTCTGTTGGTTCGAGAATCAACGATTCTGTATTGTCAAAGTCAAAGCTGCTTGTCTGTGCCGATACGACTGCTGCGAGCAAGCTTAACGCCGTGAAAGGCTTCATAGTCGCCGGACGAATGTCGGGCGTGATGCGCTGTTATCGGTTCTTGGGTAAAGTCTCCTGTGTGGTTCCAGCAAGGTGAGCTTCGTAGCTCAAAGACACTAATGCTCGATATTTTCAGATGGATTGGAGATTGTTTGTCGTCCCCCCTGCTTTCTCGTATTATATTTTGCCGGTGTTGGTATTTGATCCTAGAATTCACTTGGGCCTCTAGGATCTTCAACAACGCGTGATTCCAGGCCAAACTCTCACACAGGAGAAAGGAAGAGGCAGGCAAAGTGAGGAACACACTATGCAGT